CATGAAATCTTGTCTAAATTAAAAAAGAGACAATCAAAAATGTTTATGCGCAAGTCCGAATTATGGATCAGCAAATATTTTCCGTCCCTATAACGATAGCCAATTATAAAATTATCAATATAAATTATAAAATATAAATTATCAATATAACTCAATATAAATTATCAATATAAATTATAAAATTATCAATATAAATTATCAATATAATTGATAATGTCCATATTCATATTGTTCTAATTTATATAGGATAATGGTGTTTGTAGACCTATTAATAGTTTCCTAAATCTACAAAGTCTATAAAGCAAATAATATTCTAGATTTCTTTTATTAAATATTAAGGATGTTTGCAAACATAACCTTAGTATATAATTGGAACTTGAAACTATAATTGAAACCGTTATCTTCCATATATTGAGAGAAAAATATCTAAGAAATAATAAGTATTTATTTGGTGGGCACATTAATTAATATATATTCACTTGTACTAATATAAAATATTTTTCAAATAAAAAAATATTACTAACTAAAAATTAAACTAAAAAACCTCTTGACTTACTGTCAAGCAAAAGTTTCCATCAGAAGCTAGGCTTAAATCAAGCAGAAGTTAAGCTTAACAGCTTTTTTTAGTTAATTGACTGAAGAATGTAAAGAAACTTTAATAACCTTAATAAATAAGCTTAAGCTTTCTTTATAAATAAGTTCTCTTTATAAATAAGCTTAATTAATTAATTAAAAAAAATTGTTAAACCAAAATCCCTATCTATACTGAGAAAAAATATCCAGAAAATAACAAATATTTCTTTGGTGAGTACTAACAACATATTTAAATTCTTTTATTTAGGTGGGATAGCAGTTGCTTTTAAGAAAAGCCAAAGTTTTCTTAAGGTTTTAAGAAAACGTATATCGTCGGAAATTAGAAAACTTGCTGACTTACAAAATTCCAATTTTACAGGAGAGCCAGAAAACTGATAATTTTTGTAAAAAGTTAAGTTAAGTTTTTCGACTCTTTTATAAAATTTGAATTTTGTGAGTTATTTTCTAATTTCCGACGATAAACATTTTCTTAAAACTTTAAGAAAATTTTGGCTTTTCATAAAAACAACTGCTATCTCACCTAAATAAAAGAATTTAAGTAAATATGTTATTAGTACTCACCAAAGAAATATTTGTTATTTTCTGAATATTTTTTCTTAGTATAGATGGGTATAGATGGGGACTTTGGTTTAACAGGTTTTTTTTAGAGAGCTTATTTATAAAGAGAGCTTAAACTTATTTATTAAGGTTATTAAGATTTCTTTACATTCTTCAGTTAATTAATTAAAAAAAACTGTTAAGCAGAAGTTAAGCTTAACTTCTGCTTGATTTAAGCCTAGCTTCTGATGAGAACTTTCGCCTGACAGCAAGTCCCCGTTTCATAGGAGGGAGTCGAGTGCAGCGCATCGCTTTATCCGCCGACTCGATCGTTGCTGACGAAAAGTCACTGCAAAACGACGCCCAATTATCGGCAATATCGATAAGAATAATCAAAATTATGTGACTTGACATTTCAAGATTATTCGGCAATATGCTTGTAAATTACGTCGTGCCGCGCGCAAAAATTTCTCGTCTCGCCCGTCATATTCTCGATATTCGCGGGGAGAAGGGGGAATTTCTTTCTGTGACTCTCTCGCGACGTTATCGATATTTACGGGGTTTTGCCGTGCTCGCACGCGCGACTATTCCCTACTTTCAGTGGGCATAGAAAATTTATCGGGCAAATATATTCTGTCGGCGCGCGTTGTCGTGCGCGTTCAGCCACCCGGAGGCCGGTACGAGTATTCGTGGATAATGAATAATAAATTTGCTTCGAAACCTTCGTATAAGCAATGAGAGCGTGAACGTGAAAAATAACCGTGTAAACCTTTCGACATAACGTTGCGCTAATGCCACGCTGATTGCACGTAAGCGACAAGAAACGGATACCTTATATAGGATGTGACTGCGATGGGTATTTCGCTCTCTCTGTGCTATATCGTATAATTATGTAATTACAACAGCGACGCGACAATATATGCATAGGAGTTGTTCGAAAGATGCTATCGCGCTTCGACACGCCGATGAAGAAAATTATTTTGCGCCACTTCAAATACGAAAAAATTCATGTCTGCACTTATTTGTGTCTGTACAGAGTGTCCCAGACATTCTCCTTCTCCTCCGCAATTTTTGTGGAAACGTAGACCGGATTGGGGTGAACATAAAAGTTCCATACTGTTTTGCGATATTCGCAATAAATCTCGAGATATTAATTAATGAAGATGAATGATCACGCGTAATATGGTAGATGAGCGATAGTGGCGCCGTCTGCCGTTGTATATTTATACATTAGATCCAACTGAACAAAAAAGTCTTTTGTCATTTTGCAAATGAGCACACCGATTTTTAGATATTAATTAAAGAAGATTTGTGCAATATCGCGCACGATCATGTAACAATTTTCTTCCGTTAGTAACTAGAAATCTACGGTATAAGACTTTCATGTTCATCTCAATCCGTTCAACGTTTTCACAGAAATTGCGGAGAAGAGTTTGAGACACCCTGTATATCAAATATCAAACTCATACATCAGGCTATTCGCGGAAAATATTCATGTCGTCAGTCGCGAAATTATCATCGACTTATTCAAATTTATCACGCGAAATTGAAGCAGAAAATCATTCTCGAAGTAGTACACGCCGAAATGTAAGTTTAAGTTTATTCCTCCTCGCAGAAATGCATCTGCGAAGCAAAAATTGCAGATCTACGCGGTATGCGGACGAATAAAATGACTCCACGTTATCCCAGCTATGTAAATGTACGCAAATACGCATATCAAACTTCTCAGAACGGAAATTAGTTTTGTTGTCAGTCGTGAAGTCCGAAAATTATTATTGACGTGCCTTCAAATTTATCTCGCGAGATTAAGCCAGGAAATCGTTCTTAGTGCCTCAAAGTGGTACACGCCAAGATGTAAGCCAAGATACAAGTTTATTCCTCCTCGCAGAAACACTCCTGCGAGGCAGAAGTCGCAGATTTACGCGGCATGCGGCCGAAGAAAATGATACCGCGTTATTCCAACCATGCAAATGTACGCAAATACACATATCAAATTTTTTAGAATAGAAATTACTCTCGCTGTCAGTCGTGAAATTTGAAAATTATTGTCGATGCGCTTTTAAGTTTATCTCGCGAGATTAAACCAGGAAATCGTTCTCGATAACTCAAAATAGCACACGACAAAATGTAAGCTTTAGTTCGTCGCTTCTGCTCGCAGAAACGCTTCTAGGAACTAATCGTAGATTTACATTAATAAAAAAAATATTTTCGCCTAATTTCAAGTATATAAACATACGTAAGTACACACATAGCGACGTGCCTTCGAATTTGCCTTACAAAATCAAAAGTTAAAGGCTCTTGAGGCTTTATCAAAGGAAACAAAAAGAATAAGGCAAATAAAAAAACGTCTGAATTTTTAAATAAATCACAAGCTTTTATTAAATTGTGATTTTTGCATTTAAGATCGGCAGTTGACTCTTATTTGCCTCATTCTTTGTTTGCTTTGATTTTGTCTCACAAAACTTACTCAGCAAAATCATTGTCGACTCTTACAAGTCAAGCGTGTCAAAATGTGCGCATAAGTCAATTTTTCTATCTTGCGACGTTTCCAACGACGTTTCTGCGAGACAGGAGTCATAGATTTAGAAAAGATGTCGTGGAAAGAAGAAAATTACTTCGCGTTGTTCTAACTATGAAACATAAACGTGCACAAACGCATATATTGAGCTTCTTCGAACGGAAGTTATTCTCGTCATTAGTTGCGAAATTCTAAAATTATCCGAAGATCATTATCGTCGACGTGCCTTCGAATTTATCTTACAAAATTAACGGAGAAAATTGCAGAAAAACAAAGAATCATTACACAAGTCTGCATGATTTTGCGTTTTGGATTTCAAAGGTCATTTCCTACGTAATTTTGTCCGCTGAATACGAGTCCGGCTTTAGAATTTCTCTATCACGTCAGGTTTTCGAGATAATTAGGTTTAAATAGCCAAAGAATACCGATTTTCACTATATTCAACCGATTATTGAGTCTCATAGACTTCAATATCAATAAACTTCCGTAAAAAGTAATAGTAAAATAAAAAATGTTATATGATTTTAAAGGGGAAGAATAGTACATTAAAATGCCGTTTGTGAATTTATTAAAAAGAAATTGCTTTGTTAGCAATAATCGGTTGAATATATATATGAAAATCGGCATTTTTGGCGAATTAAACCTAATTATCTTGAAAACTTGACGTGATAGAGAAATTCTAAGGTCGGATTTATATTCAGCGAACAAAATTACGTAAAAAATAGCCTTTCAGTTCCAAAACGCATTAAGTTTTTGAAACTTTGCAGACCTGTGTTATCGACGCTTGTGGGTCATATTTGCTGAAATGCACACAATCAAGTTCTTATTTCCCCTCTCCTCACCGGAGAGACGCTTCTGCGAGGCAGAAATCGCGAGGCAGATTTTGCACGGTCCAATGCCGTAACTAATACCCCAGATGCAGTTACTGGCTGGTCAAAACGCGCACGAGGTGCACGCTCGTGCGAGCGTATCGAGGATGAGAAATGCCGTACGTGCGTTGCAAACGGTGTCGAATGTGTTCGACGTAAGTCTTGCGTAAAGGTCAGGCCGCGTGCGTTATTAAACGAAGGTGCGCGCGACAATTGAAGACCTTTACAGGTGCGCTCTTAATTGCCCGTTTTGCGTCTGCTGTTTTCGATTTCCCGTCGTGGAGGATACTCCCTCCCGTACTTGACATTTACTAGGTCGATGCTTGACATTTATTTATTGCGGGTAGTATCTTATTTATAAATATATATACACATTCTGTTTATCTTATCGGAGAGCGCGCGCGCGCGCGCGCTCTTTCTCTTCTTATTATATATTGCGCTCGCTTATAGACCCAATATTTTTATCGCTGCTCACCTTCCAGGATCGCGTTGGCGATACCGCCCGGCGAGGACGGCCGCTCGAGATGTACGATGTACGACGTGAATTACACGGAGCTGCTGTTGAGCGGAATCCGCGAGGCCAACCTGAGCTGGCCGACGAAGGGTTGCACGCACGGCTGGGAGTTTAATTTTACTGACATCCCCTACGAGACTGTGGCGACCGAGGTAAGGGACGTAGGAAGTCGTCGCGCGGACCGACGACAGAAATGAGGGTCTTTCGAGAGTATCGTCCGCGAGGAGGAAGCTTTCTCTGCGCGATCTTCCCACATCGCCAATCGCGTTCCACGCGCGTATCGCACTGAGAGGAAAAGTTTCGCTGGTTTAACAAAATAGGGCAACCCGAGGCATAATGGGAACTCTAAGGTTTAAATAGGTTTCAAACATATTAGAAATAAATAAAACACAACAAGCGCATTAAACAAAATTTGTGGCATTCTTCAGTTAAAAATAATATCACAACTGATGATAATACGCGGTAAGAGACATCTAACAGTAATAATTGCAAACACATTTCGTTGCATGGTAACATCTCTGTAAAAACCCGCAAAAAATGTTGATATATAATCATATAAATATATATATAATTGTATGTAATTATATATATGAATTTTGTCCATATATGTGATCTTACATATAATTATATCTAATTATATTTGTCTATATAAAACAAATATTGTTGAATGAAAAAAGGAAAACATAATTCAATCAAATGTCGACATCATGAGCTAGTATAAGCAGTTATATCTTCACAACAGCATCCTTTTCAATATGGACATACATAATGTCTCAGAACAAATTTTGAAGCTCTTGTGGAAGCATAATACGGATTGAGGTGAACATAAAAGTCCTATACCGTTTTGTAATATTCGTAATAACCATTGAGATATTAATTAAAGAAAATTTGTTAATGATTACACGAGATGGTAGATCTGATCGCTGTAGTAGCGACATCTGTCATCGTGTGCTTTGGGATTAGGTCAAACTGAAGAAAAAAGTTCCCTATCATTTTCCTAATAACTTTATAAAATTTTAATTATTAATTAAAGAAGATTAGTGGATGGTTACTTATAACAAAACATATTAACGTTATATAATTAATAACTATATAATATAATTGTATAATCATATATGAAGACAATATAATCATATATGATGACAATATATGAAGAAAATTTCTATATAAACTTTTTTTTTCTCGAGAAATGATCGATCATATTCCAATATATCCTTCTTCGTGGTCCCATTATGCCTCAAGTTTCCTTACTAATGGCTAATAATGGCTAATAATGGCAATGACTAATAATTTATATGGAAGAACGAATGTGTGTATGACTCCTCAGTAGGAACAAATGATTCGTTCCTTTCAATTTGCTGTCAGTAAGCAGCACTTCTGTAATGTGGAAACATAATTAAGCTAATCTAATCTAACCTAAACAAACGAGAATAAATATGATTTATGTCTCAGGCAATGTATGGCCTGGTTTGTAAGATGACAAATGATGAGAAATGATTTGCAACTGTTCTGTTTTTTTAACAATCGTCAAATAGCAAACGCTCTTTTGTTCTGATAACAGAGGGATTTCTCTCAGTGCGGACTCGCGCTCGCTGCGTTATTCAGATATCTCAAGGTGACTCGCGAATGCGCGGCACGCAGGAAACGAGCGGCTTGTCGCGGTAAATCCCCTGCGACGCGTAATAAACGCTCGCGTCCCGGGCGAGAGGACGGGTTCTGGTAGCGGGCGTATACCAGAATTCAAATATACTTGGCCATTCTCTACACGTAGAAAAAATGTCACTCCACTGCTAAAGAAAGCGATTGCTCAGTTGACTTTCCTTCACTCAAGCGTAATGGTTATCTTCAACGAAGGATATTTTTCTCGACAAAATATTCTCACAAGATATACAGTCGAAAGCGAAACGATTTGAACACTTCTTTTCTAATGAAGCTAACGACCAGTTAGTCTAATTTGTCATTTCTTTTCTAATGAAGCTAACGACCCAGTTAGTCTAATTTGTCATTTTCTCTGTCACAATTGAAGATCACTGCTCATAGACTTGCGGAGAGGAATGACAGAGGCCAAACTGACGGTACGTGCTGTGAAAGTAAATTTTATCAAGTCAACGTGAAAACGCGCAAATACATCCGAGAGTATTTCGAGTTAGACCGTTGTAATAGTAGCGTTCGAAGAATCAAAGAATCTTGTCCTTCAAATATATCCTTTAAATATATATTATATTAAGAGATATTCGACAACAAAATCTAAGTTGCAAATCCAGGAAAAATTAAGCATGAAAGTAAAATGCGAAAGCGCTCTCTCTCTCTCTTTCTTTCTCTCGCATTACTTTCATACTTACATTTTTCCTAGATTTTTCTAGATTTCAGGTTGTGCCGCCAAATATCTCTTACCATTTGAAGCACAAGATTTTTAAATTTTTCGAGCACTACTGAAATGATTTTAGTCAAAATACTCTCGGATGTACTAATGTTTTCACATTGCCTCGATAAAATTAATTTTCGTACCATATTGTCATTTCGACTTCTGTCATAATTGATTGCTGCGCAAGTCCGTAAGCACATAAATGGGTTATTAACTTCACTAGAAAAGAAGTGTTTAAACCGTTTCGCGCTCTTGACTGCACTTGCAAACTTGAAAGGAACTCATTATCGTGTATTCAAAGGAAGAAGAATTTATTCTTTTTACAAGAATATTATAAAACTTTGTCGAAGAAAAAATCAGTTTTTGTTGTAATTCATTTTTATTTATTTATATTAATTTTTATTAATTTTTTATTTATTTTTATCGTTTTATATTCAATTTAATTATATTAAATTTTGTTGTAATATAATATTCTTGATAGAAATGCATTTATAATGCATTTGAAATATGATACTTATAATGAGTTTATGATAAATTTGCGAATGTATAAACTTACTTAATACTTAAAGCAAGTAACGTTTACTTGAATGCAGTATGATGTATTCCTGTGTGTGTAGATCGAGAGTTACTGAAAATGTTTAATCAGGCGCACCCATTTCTACATAGTCACGCTTCGTGACTGTTGATTATTCGAAGAAGCGACGACGATTTTACAAGTTTTAATATAAAACATCAGATTATATGTACATTAGACTGAATCGTGTCACTTTTCTATTGATTATTTCTAACACATGCACGCGAATAACTCACCTAATTGACGTAAACGAAGCGTTAAACTGTCAAAATGCCACAGCTGCTTGGATACATTGTCGTCGCCTCTTAGAATAACCAACAGTCTTGACACACGAGCATGTAGAAATACGTATGTCTTTTTAGTAAGTCTCTTTAAGGAATGTGCAAGCGCATTTGGAGTTTGATATACACTGTCAATATGCCAAATATTTTCACCGCGCGCTCCGGCGCCGCGCGAACGCATTGCTGAGACGGATGGAGGAATGTCGCGACATAAGGACGTATTTTGTTGCAACTTTCAGGCGTGATTGCGGCACCGAATTATTAAGCAACGCCTGACATTCGTCGAGTCTTGCGTATAATTGCCTGCGAATTGGCACTGTCACACTCGAAACTGGTTCGGAGGAATCGGTCACTTCTCTCTTTCCCCGCGTCGAATCTTCGAGGACTCGTAGTTTCTCCCTCTCTTTCTCTCTCGTGCGTTGATTCTCCAGAGTTGAGATTCATTCCACAGTTCACTTTTGATTGGTTAACTCGTTTGCTATCACGCGTCATGCACATGACGCGCCGATTTTCGCGAGAAACCGCCATCTCATAAAGTAAAAGTACTAATAGTTAAGTCGCACTCCAAAACGTCCTTCTTGAGGAAAATTTTGCTGAAAATCTATATTTCACGTTACATATACGAATTTCCAGTAAAATTTTCCTCAAGAAAGACATTTTGGAAAGCAATCTGGAATTAATGTTTTATATAATATGTAATCATAATGTCTTTAAATTTGAACATTTAAATAAAAAATATAAACTAAGTTCTAATAAAATTCAAATTGAGATATAGTTGAGCTTTTAAGAGCTAAAGTATTATTATGTCATAAATTAAATAATTAAATAGGTAGTGGCTCACAATGTAAAGAAAACTTTCCAGATAATTCGATCTTATATCGCACTCTTTTCAAAAGAATTTCCAGGCATGATGTCTAAGTATTGGTATTTTTTAGATAATTTTTGTTCTACATTCAGATAAACAAATTAAGTGTATATTACATGGAGAAAACACAAAACATAGCATGGTCTATAGTGGACGGTTTCTTAGGTCAATGGTGATAGTCATGTTAATTTGTTCCATAGTTCGCTAATATGCGTCATACATGTGTAACGTAGAAGAGATCGGATCTACTTGTCACATTTTTTCAGTGCACTTTGCATACTGATTAAGGAAAAGATATGTGCAGTATTTTTTGATGTTGTGCATTTTCTTCATACAAGTTTTAGGTAAAAAAGGGGGGAAAGAAATATTATCTTTATATAATATTTATAAAAAAGTTATTAAGTAAGCAAAGTCGTAGAAATGTGATTATTCACTCCATACTCCAGGATCGATTGTTACATGTCTTTCATGTAAAATAAAAAAGACAAATTATCTCTGTCTTTTAGATTTTAAAGAAAAGATTTTAAATGTTTTATTAAAGTTTATTAAAGTTTATGATATTTTGTATTAGGTACAATAAATATTTTCGCAACGTGTGGCAACTAACTCCGTTTAGAGTTAACCTAAATAGTTGTTCTGGATTTATAAATTATGATTTATAAAAGAGATTTATAAATTATGTTGCAGTAACTGTTAGCTAAAATGCAGAAAAAATTCTCTAAAACCATAACATTTTTATAACTAAAGATAGTTTGCGACTAGAAATTCCAAAACTAACGGATCAATCAAAATAGAAACAAAATAAATTTTTATCTCACCGCGTTCAATTTTGAAAAAGTGCTTGTAAATATCACATGCGATGTTTCTGTCGTAAATCATTTCGTACGCCCAACTATATAATCAGTACTATATATATAAGCAACATGTAGAGAAAAATATGCTTCTTTTTTTATCGTGTGAAATATAAGCTTTATGACAACTGATCTTATATAACTTCTAGATCTGATCTCTTCTACTAATTCTCACAAAAGACTGATATTCTATAAACATGACGGAGATAATTTTTCATTCAATGTCCAAACAAACGAACTGAATATGTTTTACATTATTACATGAAAAAAAGAAAACGTAGGAAAACGTAGGAGAATGAGAGATTTCCGAAATGAACGGTGGTGATCGCGACAATTTGTTCTTTGATTAACAAGACCCGCGGCGAGAGATTTACAGCGCGTTCTCCCTCACCGGAGTAAGCTCTTCCACTCACCCAATGACGAAAATCGACAGAACTGCACATGTCGACTGGAGAAATAAATTATTCGATCTTAGATCTCCGTTGCAGTTGGGATGGGTGTGCGAGAACAGCGCGTTGCCGACCACGGCCCAGAGTATCTTCTTCGTCGGCGCGATCTTCGGCGGCCTGATCTTCGGGTGGATCGCCGACAGGTACGGTAGGATACCGGCGTTAGTCGGTGCCAATGTCACCGGTTTCTTGGCCGGCGTCGCGACCGTGTTGGCAGGCAGCTTCTGGGAGTTCGCGTTATGCCGATTCTTCGTGGGCTTCGCCTTCGATAACTGCTTCACCATGATGTATATATTAGGTATGTAAGCAATGTACTCTCTCGTTAACCAGAAATGTCTCGACCGATAAATTCTCGTCTCAATAAATTCGGTTTAAATGTTAAACTAACACGTTGACTTCTATTGTTGGGCATAAATCAATTAAAATTTCCTTTGACTAAATGAGAGAAAAATGGTCAATGAGAATCACGGTTGTTGATGTGAATATTAAATAATGAGAGGATAATGATGCTCGACAGTGTCAACGCACGTGCCGAATATTTTTCCGAACTTCCAACATACGCGGTGGAATCACCCTTTCATAGTTAGACCGACTCTTTATGCCAAATTATTAATCCTTTCTAAAAGAAGGCATGTAAGAGATTTGATTGTTGCCGCTTTTCCGTGATGCTGATTGGTTTTCTCGCTTCATGTGAACTGCGGCTTGCTTCGTGTCGTTTGCGGCTGTCAAATTACCAGGCAAATAGCTGTCATCGCGTTGGTTAGGTCACGAAAAAAAATACAGAAAATATATGTCTCTCCCTGTCTCTCCCTGTTTCTCATTGTCTCTCCCTGTTTCTCCCTGTCTCTCCCTATCTCTCCCTGTTTCTCCCTGTCTCTCCCTGTCTCTCCTTGTCTCTCCCTCCTTCTCCTGTCTCTGCCTGTGTCTTTCTGTCTCTCCCTGTTTCTCCCCGTCTCTCCCCGTCCCTCCCGTCTCTCCCTGTCTCTCCCTGTCTCTCCCTCCCTCTCCTGTCTCTGTCTGTGTCTTTCTGTCTCTCTCTGTCTCTCCCTGTCTCTCTCTGTCTCTCCCTATAATTATTAATTAATTAAAGTATATTTTAATTCAATTTAATTTTTATTTAATTTTTATTTTATATTTTTTATTGTTTTTATCAGCTATATGACATGCGCATATATTATTCTAGTATTAATTAATTTCAATATCCCATTTCCAATAAACTATTTTGATTATACATTCAATTCTCTGCTGTTACGAAAAATATTGCCTCAGCAAACTTCAGGGAATCGAATCTGAACCTCCCCCTTGTCGGACAGGACGCCATACCAATTCAGCCACCAAGACTTCGACAACACAAGTATTTCTCGCAACACAAGTGTTGATAAGATATTAGATAGGAATAAATTATACGCATTCTCCAGCCTGCGTCACAAACAACGAATTAAATAGTAGTTTAATATTCGCACCAATAACCGCGATTGACTCTTATTGACCTTCATTCTCTCTCTTAGTTGTGTATCTAAAGGAGTCATGTTTATATAGCTCGTTCTTGACTAAAATAATCGGAAAATTAATAAGCAAATTGATAAATATTGTCATGTATAAAATCACAAATAACTCCATTGATTGATAAAATTAATTATTAATCAGTTTATCAATCACATCAAAGTTTGGTTAATAATTAATTTCATCAATCGGTTAAATTATTTCTGATTTTTCATATGACGATTAATTAATTTTGATTATTGATTTGCCGATTATTTTAGTGAAAGAAGATTTTAATCGATTACCCAAAACTGTTGACTTCCACGCTGATTTCTATTAATTATCTCAATGCTTCATTGAAGTTTGAATCATCAAAGATACGATAAATAAATGCGATTCTCCTTACATATATTCGCTAGTTTGTTTCATTGGTTTGCTATTGACTATTATGTCTATATCTATTGAATTTATCATACGCAATTAGTTATTACACATAAAATTAGTTATGCATATGTTAGTTACACGTATTTAGCAATATTATAGCCAACTACTGATGATTCCCACGAGTCAATGTGTTAATTTCTATTTAATTGTGCTCTTTAAATTTCTTGAAGTGAAATTTCACTCAAGACGAGTCAAGATCTAATCAAGCAATAATGGAAATGCCGCCACTCAGAACAAGAGTAGATGTTTCTCTCAAGCTTACAATGGATTCAGATAACATTCAAGTGAATGTTTTATTCTATTAGATTGAATATATTCCTGTCATAGTAGAATACATCAGATTCATTCTTCTGCGAATTCACTCTGTATGCGTGAACAATCACTCGCATTCGAATGACTCGACAGTCATTCTTGAGTGAAACTCCACTTTAAGTAATTTAGAGAGTATCATAACAATGAATTCAACGTTTTTTGCTTGAGGGAAACAGAATTTCTGATTCTTACGAATTAAATTCGATTCTCGAGAGTCAGAAATTCTGTTTCCTCACGCAAAATGCATTTAGTTATATCATAACTATATACGTTAATTTATGTAAAAAAAATCAATTTGATTGAAAACCAAATTTTTGGTAAAATATGAACGAATCGGAAAATTTCAGTTGAATTAGAATTTTAAAGTTACTGGAATTTAACCAGAAATCTTATTAACTTGAACATAATTCTGATAGCATTGACTAAAATTTTATTTCCGTGTAACTAACCTTTTTTCTCTATAACTTTTTGATTTCTTACAGTGAAATCTCACTCAAAACGAGTGAAGAGTAATAGTAATTTCGCTCGAAGTGATAATGAAAATACTGCCTCTTGCACAAGTGAAACGCACAAGTGAATTTTCCATTCCAGCTTAGAGTGGATTTTGACTTCACATAAACGAATGTTTCACTAAATTAGAGTAAATATGTTCTTGTGATAGTAGAATATCAGATTCACTCAGTTTCAAGTAAAAATATTTACTTAATAATTCTGAGAAATCTTTCTGTATGTGTGAACAATCACTCGAATTCGAGTAACTGATCTGTCATTCAAATAAAACTTCAATTCTATACTCAATTATATACTTCTATATTTCTATACTCAATTATATACTTCTCAATTCTATACTTCAATTCTATATTCAAATAAAACTTCACTTCAAGAAATTTAGAGAGTACATTTGTGGTCGAAAAGATTATCTGTTTTTTATTGTAAGTTTAAGAATTTATGCTTCTTATCAAATAGAAAGAATAAGTTTCTAAACTTATACAAAAACCAGACAACCTTTCTGACTACGAGTGTATAACTGTTTCTCCTCCCTTCTCTCTCTTAAAGTCGTCATTAATCACTTTTTGGCTTTCTTCTTTTCTGTTTTACTCGCAGTAAAACGCTATTATAATTATTTTCTACTTTATCACGTGTGACTAATCGCTCCAAAGGAGAATTGTACCAACAGTCCACCGCGATGGTATTAACGTGTTCCCGGGAACGCGCGATGCGCAATTAAAGGCCTAACAGGCCGCGAAAGGAAAGGCGGTTTTGCACCATCAATCAGTGTCATGGGTCCCACGTTCGCGAATAATGGCAATGACAATGACTTCGTCAGGAATGGCTAACTGGTTATTAATCTGACCCAGTATGCGAAGACTCGATTTGCCAGATTCTGCAATCGATTCTCGGCAATCTAATCGCCGTGATGTATAGTAATTAAAGGGTCAGACCAATATTTTTTTTGAGAATTAATTTGCGAAAATGAATCAACCGAATGTTTTGAAACACTGTATATTAATTAAGTAACTATTAAACTTCATATTACTATTTTTATTATTTGAAAAAAGCGGTTGGATCGACAAAATCAGCAGTCATCGGCCATTAAAGAAATATTGGGCCTATTCAACAAAATACACGTTAATGCAACAATAAGTCGCGTTGATATTACTATATTAATATAGATACAATCATTTCAACGTAACTTATTGTTACATCAATGCGTATATTATTGAATAAATACAATATTTCTTTAATATACGGTCGGTAACCATCGATTTTGTCGAGCCAACTTCTTTTTCTCAGTGTAGAAGAACCTATAAATAAATATGCAGCATATGCGAGTCCGCGAAAAATATCGCTGCAATCGACGGGAAAAAGATAACTCGTTCTAGAAACCTGAGATCAAAAAACCAAAAAGTTTCTTAAATGATATATTTGTAGGAGAACCAATCTAAAAAATTTAAAAAAACATTAAACCTAATACCTTTTTTAGTAGAGTAAAACAACAAAAAAAAATACGTAATTTAGATGTTCAATTTCTCAAACAGTTTTTTTTCTGTAATCTTTGTTCCACAGCTTAAAATTTAGGTTCGTTAGAGGCAAATTAAGCGCGGTCTGTCATTCGCGATACTTCGCTCATTAAATCACAGTATTGATCACAATAGCGTCTTCGCGTCAGTATTAATCACAGCACTTAATTCGAAACCCGCGATCGGTTATCTAACGACACGCGGCCGCCGTCAAACATGATAGATGGGGTTTCAGATCAGAAGCTGCCTGTCTCGATTTTCGGAGTAAGCTTCCTTTATCGGTCGCGCGCTCGCTGCGCGGGTAATTGGCCGGCGATAATTAGCAACGGAAATCCCCGTATTCGTGGCGCCTGTTCGCGGAACGCTTCCCATATTTCCTTTTCATACGCGAAACAATGAGCAGCTCAGCTCGGTCTCCTCGTCGTATCGTCGTGTCGACCTTAATTCCGTCGGCTATCGCGATTTTCGCCGAACAAGTCGTCATCTCGTCGGATTACAACGAGAAGCCTCCACGCGTGCACGTGATAGACGCGTACCTGAAAAACTCGGGGACTTCGCGAGTATTCTCTATGACGATCGCGAAGAAAAGATTTAATCTCGCGGATCGTAATTGGTCCCTACTTGCACAACGGTTAGATCCAATTGTCGACGGCCGGCCTTGGCGATAGATCGGCGACCTGGTCCGAGTGATTGTCGGCCCCGCCGACCAGTTTTCGAGTGTCCGATCGAGTCACGGCCGATCCCCGGATTCAGCTTTCAGGTCGAGCTCGCCCTGAAGGCTTTGACTCACGGAGTCACGGTTATTGCACCCGCGTTACCGCTAGTTCCGTTTCGCCGATTTCCGCCGGTGGGAAGCGTGGCCAATGTCGAGAGAGACGCACGTGCCGCTATTAAATTCACTTAAGGGACCGCGCGCGTTTGCGAAATTATTCCGTTTGACTGGCCACATTCGCTGACATTTCATCGGGCCCGATAACTGGCCCGGGGGAAGGGAGGGGCCCGCTTGATATTATCTCCGATAATTCTTTCCGGCCGCGTGACACCAATTGACATCGCCAGCTTTATATAAGTACTTCGCGCGTGCGGCACTTCGCGCTCCATCCAGAGAATAATCGAAAGGCCTGTCACTCTGAAATTCTTTTCTTTTTCTTTTTCGCACGATGATTGATTGCTGACCGCAGAAAGATCAACGATCGGCCGCGCCGCTCGTGTGAACGGCGAGGTAACAGTCCCGATTACGGGTCGTGTTCCATTTTCGGGTCAAACTTGGTCTATTAATATATTAAAAAGATATAATTGTAATAGAAACGCGGAAAATAACTTTTTTATATTCCTTATTCTTTTACAATCATATTTCAAGGTTATATTCGCAAACATTCTTATCATTTAAAAAAAATCTAGGATATCAGTCAACTTTACTCTTTAGATTTGAAACGGTTAAAAAGTAAGTTGTGCCACGTATAACGTTATTTTACATAAACTGAAACAATGAGATCATTATTAATATAAAGTTGGATATCGTATAACCTGTTATACGAATGCAATATCCTTGATAGAAATGTATGCAACTTATGTAGATATCCAATTGTTGTCTAATATTAATACATTCTTATTAGTAGAAATAATGCATAAGAACAGGAACTGCAGAAGAAGTGGTTTCAATGTTTGAAAGAGTTTACACGTGCAACACATGGGCCGATTCCTTCAAAGTATATAAGTACTGTTAATTCAATTTTCAATGCCTATAGCGAATAAAAATAAAGAAAATATTTATTTATCTTGCTAGAAAAGAGTTAAAAGTTGTGTGAACGATGAGTGAACGAGAAGCATAGAGCGAGGGAAGGGAAATTGGAGGAAATAAGGCATTTGACAATATTAGGCCGTGACAGAGATGACAATTGAGATTAGGAATGAAAATAAGAAAGAGGTAAATGAGATACACGATAATAATACAGAATTTCATTTCGATGAGAACAAATCAGGCTATTCTGATGCTAATGATACAAATGAAAACTATCATGAAGCTATCATTAGCTCAGACTCAGAATTTGATAAAATAATACAAGAATGGCTAAAAGAACATGTTTATTGTTTGATGATTGTGAACAATATCACGTAAAAGTGAAAAACATGATAATATGTATTACACACCAAAGATTTCCTGCGCTATAACTCTCACTAGCATTAAAATTTTTCAATTGTAAATCGTGCACAACAAATAGACATTATTAGGTTACTTGGGCATTACTAGAGTATCAAACTTGCCTATTTTATCAGCACAGCAGGTTTATTAAATAATCGAATTTTGTGTCTATTCTCTATTCTGTTTTCGTGCATTAAATGAGTTCAAATTTTGCGCATTTTTCGTGCGAAGTAGCTGCAGGAAAAATGTCACATTTTAACGGAAATACCAAGTATTTTTCCTCTTCAGTTTCTAGGCAAAAGTAACATAACTGTCCAGTAACTGCTCGAAGGCTGCATTAAATTTCTATCATGATTCTGCTAATCCATAATTGTAACTTACGCATAAATATTTCTAATTACTTTTATATTTACTTATAATTTATGTATACTTACTTATACTTTATTACTTACTTATACTTACTTATACTTATATTTTATATTTATTTACACTTTTATACTTACTTTTATAATTATTTTTATAATTACTTTTATTACTATTACGTTTATCTTGGATAAACTATAATTTAAAGTCTAATAATTTTGTTTTAGAACTACGATATTAGTTACTTGCATCAGTATCAACAGTTCATTTTAATGTCCAATCAGCAAATTTGTGTAAATAATTGAAAATTACTATAATCTTAAATAGCTCATAATTAGGGTCGTTGCATTATATTTTTTGCATGAAACGACTCGAGAACCGCGTAACAGGCTTTGTAATCGCATAATAATAATGTAAGTAATTGAAACGCATGAATCAGTTTCCACTGCTCCGTAGCCTTGTGACTACCGTTGAATATGCTAAGATCGGATAATTTTACGCTTCACAGGTGGATGGTAGTGTGCGGAGTGGAAAAATAATCGATCTAATTGTGATATATAGTCCAAGATACGAGCTCGCGTTGTTTTCATAATCAACAGGAAGCATGTCTGAGCACTCGTTACTGTACTCGTACGATCACAGGCAGCCGTCGTCTCATAACGGAATGAGTTTACGCCCGTTATTAGGAGCTCCGCGCTAACAGTCGGGTATTACCTAAATTACGAGAGATCCCAGCATATTCCTCGCTTTTGGTCGCGGGCGAACGCGAGGTCGCGAGAGCGAAGGATGTTGCGACCTCGGCGCGAATAATTCGAGCCCGTCGAGCTCTATCGAGCCGCAACACTCGTGGCTTGGCAAGCTACTTAAGATTATAGATCTTCGTTTTTTCGCTCTATTATTACGTAAATACGACGGGAATCAGCGTCTGAATTAATCTTGCTTTAACGATCGTCGGTCGAATTAATTTACAGCATGAAATATGGGTCATTCAGTGACTCATATTTTCCGCTCGGTTTTCAATTATTTTAATAAATTTCTTGACACTGAATACCGTTTCTTTTTGTTTTCCATGAACAAGTGTAAAAAAGCAGATAACCGTAAAGTTTTATTTGTATAATTCTATAAATAAGCAAATAATAAAAAATATGTTTTTCATGAAAAAAATTCATTTTCTACTAAACTATTATCAATATTGAAACAACAGTTTAGACAAGTATTTTTCAGGATTTTGCCAAATTTTTTCGTTACGTTGTTTTTTATTATAAATTAATAATCTTTGAAAAATATGGAAAAATCAATATTTTCTGTTGCAAATCCAAATAAACAGTTTGAATATTTCTTATAATGGTGTTCTGGGTGGATTTTTTGGATTACTAAATCTTAATTTGAGATTAGAATATTTTATCAATCAAATTAATATTGTTATTAATCAAATTTTTTAAAATCCAAGATGCCGGAACTAGTAAAATTAAAAAATTCTATTAAAAAATTCTATTAAAAAATTCTGACTTCTGATTTATAATAAGCGAAAAAGTCTCGAGTTCAAAAACTTCAAAAAATCTATCCGATACAAAAATTTGTGATACAAAGCGAAAAATTGAGATTCTTTAACACTGGTCAAGAAATTTCGCATCGTAATTTGCAGCCTTCTTGAATTTTAATTTTTTTCTCTTTATGTTTATATGCTGAACAGAAATTGAACAGTGAAACACACAAATTATCTAGCGTTAGTTTAAAAAATATATATTTATATATTTTTATATATATTTTAATATATATTTTATTTAATATATATATACAGGATGTCTAACAATTGTTGACATACTCATTGTATGGAAATAGAACTTGTCAAACTGAATGCAAAATTCCTCCACCATTTCGCAAACAACCACGTAAAATTTTGAGCTATTAATTAAAGGAAATTAGTGAATAATCACGTGCAATACGGTAACTGAGCTCTAATGACGACGTTTACTGCCGTGTACTTGTACATTAAGTCAAACTGAACGAAAAAGTCCTCTATTATTTTGCAAATGACCACGTAGATTTTAAGTTATTAATTGAAGAAGATTGGGGCATTATCATGGACAATCACGCACTAATCTTCTTTAATTAATAGCTACGTGACTATTTGCAAAATGATACTTTTTCGTTCAGTTTGACTTAAATATGCGAGCATACGACGACAAACGTCGCTATCCTTCATCTGCTATATCTCACGTTACTCAGTTAATCGTACGCCAATCTTCTTTAAATTACAAGTTACGAGTCTCACAAATTTATTGTGGCCGAAGACTCAACCAAATAAAATCTGATTATTCTACATTCACGCATAAGGAACTAGAGAATAAGGAATTAGAGTGCCGGAACAAAGCCTTAAATAGCATTGATTAGCCAATTATCGGGGAGAAGGAGGTCTTCGTTCTTCGCCTACGTGTTTCTCGTTTTCTCCTTTTCAGTATTGGAATACGTGGGACCTAAATGGCGTACCTTTGTGGCGAATATGTCAATCGCTCTCTTCTTCACGTTTGCCGCCTGCATCTTGCCTTGGATCGCGTATTTCTTAGCCGACTGGAGGATGACGTGCATCAGCATCTCCGTTCCTTTAGCATTGGCTGTGGCGGCGCCCTGGTTAGTGCCGGAGAGCGCGAGGTGGCTCGTCAGTCAGGGTCAGGTGGAGAAGGCCATCAAGATCCTCGGTAAATTCGAACGCATCAACGGCACAAAGGTGCCCGAGAACGTGTACCAACATTTCCGCGTAAGACTCGTTTTTCTCATCATATCTTCGTACTTGGCTTCAAATAACCCTATACGGAGAAAAATAATTTGCTGGCCCAGCAAATTTTCTGCTGGTCTAGCAAAATCTTTTCGTTATTATATGGATAGGAGAAAGATTTGCTAAGAGTACTAATCACTATTTACTGGATATAATTTGCTGAATCTACAAATTATTTTGCTATAAGAACCATGATGGATTTATATAAGCAGTTGCAGTTTGCTCCGATTGCAAATAAATTTGCTAAGGATACATTATTTTGCATCGATAGCAAATTAACGCGTGATTCTTGGGACAAATACACACAACAAATTTTTTTATCTTGGCAACTAAACTACTTTTGTTCTGATAACGAATAATTTGTAAAATTAGTTACGTCAACTAAATTTTTTTGCTATTACTACCAATATGCAGTAACAACGACGATTTTGCTAAAAGAGCAGAATTATTTTTCTTCGTGTAGAATCCTAAATATCCAAAAATTACGTAAACACTAAACATGGATAAATTTTACCCCGCGCTTCTTCATTCGCTCATAATTAAAGTAGTCCGTAAAGATAATAAAAAGTCAATGTTTTTTTATTTATTGTAAAAAGCATTGAGGAATATGAATCTATTAATGTTTGTTCAGCGAAACCGAAAGGTTATAATGAAAAAACGAAATCCACGTTTTTAAGAAAAGTAACGTTTGAAAAATTGTTCTAAATTTTATTGATGTTTAGGGTGTTAGAGTTAATGAACACTTTAAATTCGCTGATTGTGTAAAAATCCATGGCTCATACAATGACTTTCTTCGTTCGTGCCAAACAGGAAACTTGCGCCAGAGTGTGTAAGGAGCAAGAAGCAGACAAAGCATACTCCGTGTTGGACTTATTCAAGAGCCCGCGCTTGCGAAACATCACGATTCTTCTTATTTTTATCTGGTGAGTCACACCGTAAAGATATTCCCAATTTTAAGCGACTTCTAAAATTATAATTTGTGCAATTTACTTGCTAGTAATTTCTTTAGAAATTTATTCAAATCAAATACAATAAGAGAACTTAATTTCTAGGAATTACTAAAAAATAAATTCTGTCATTCCAAACTCGATACGTTCCAAACTGCATCGAGAAAAAAAAATTTCAAACTATTTTGAAACCAAATGTACGGAGAAAAAGAGTGGTTGAATTTAACTTGATAAATTTAATACATTTCTCTAAAAATCCTGTTTCCTATAACCAATTTATTAGGTTCAAATTAATAAATTTAACAAATATGTTAGTAACCAGAAATTCTCTGTTTCCTTTAAACAATACACATTTAGTTGTGCTAGCAGAATTTCTAGCACATATAATAATATAAATCAAATTTGGCTTGGTTTAATAAATTTAATAAATTTAATAAATTTCTTAAGAGCCAGAAATTGTTTTTTAAACAACATTTTATTGTTAGCAGCATTTAATTGTGCTATTGTCACGTTAATTCAATCAATCTTTTTTCTCCATGGGGAAATCGTGTAAAAAAATGAAAATATTCGGTTACAGAATACGCACGGAAAAAAAGATTTGCTAATATATGGACAACTAAAAATGTTAACAGCAGGAGCAAATTTTCTTGCAAAATAGCATTTCTTGCTTTCATAGCAAAATTATTTAGTTGTAATAGCTGTAGTTGTAATATATATAGTAAATATATATTAGTTGTAATATATATATTAGCAAATCTTTTAACTATCACAATTAAATAACTTTGCTATGAAAGCAAGAAAACTTGCTCCTGCGGTTAATATTTTTAGCAAATCTTTTTTTTCCGTGCGGTAAGGTAGTTCTTTACGCATACTGACCGTACTCCACGATGCAGGATGGCGATATCGCTTGTATTCGACGGTCACGTACGAAACGTGAACAATCTCGGTCTCGATGTCTTTATGACGTTTACTATCGCGGCGGCCACCGAATTGCCCGCCGACACGTTCCTCACCCTCGTTCTGGATCGATGGGGCAGGAGATGGTTGGCTTGCGGCACTATGGTTATTTCCGGGATTTTCAGCATCTGGGCCAGCGCGGTTTCAAACAGTGAGTGAGCTTCCAGATCATCTTTTCTCTATTATCTTTTCGTGGAACGTAGATTAAAAAATCTTTAAGGGTCAGTTTTTCAATGATAGTTTAAACTTAGATTTCAACTTAAACTCTGTTTAAACAAAACAAACGCATTGTTAGAATAGAGTTTAAAACTGAATCCAAGTTTAAACTGCTATTGAAAAACCTAAAAGTCTACACAAGATGTCGAAACAAAATCCGCGAATGAACTAAGAAATTAGGCATGAACGCCTTGAAAAATCAACTAAAATCAATCAGAATCAAATCAACCAAAAAACTTCCAATATTTCACATGTGTGGTACATCCATAACTACATAATGCTTGTGCATTATTACGTTTTCCATTTTTATTAAAAAGAGTTATTAATGACAATTGAAACGTTGGATTGATTTTGCAGGACGTTTTGTAGTACTTCATTTCTTAGTTTATTTAATATTTCGCAATTGACGTCTTGCTCTTATTGGCTTCCTTGATCTATGTTTAATTGTGCCTAATAATTCATTTAACCTTCTAGCCTTCTGGGTCTTTTTGACCCAGAACAGTTTCAAAGTTTACACAGTTTTTGTAATATTCTAAATACAAATGTGATACTTTGCGACTTTTCGAGTTATTTCAGAAAAAGTCAGTACATATTGTACTAAATTACTTTATATAATGCTAAAATAAAAGATATAAAAAATACATATATGTCAATTAAATAGTGAGTTCTCACCATTGGCCTATTTAGACGCTGAACATGGTCAAAGTATATCCGAAACGAACACGATTAGAAAGTTAATATCTCTTCTCTATCTTAAATTATTAGATTACCTAAAACGATCTATAATATCCAGTATCCAAGGACACGATTTCACAAAATCAGCGTCCGTCTCTCTCTCTCTTTAATTCGCGTATTTCTTCAAAGTGTAGTTGTAATCATGCTTCTGTATAATTTCTTCTTTCTTCGATCGACTGTTTCAGATATTTACTCGGCCACCTTGGCGATAATTGGTAGATTCTGGGTGAACATTTCGTACAACATCGGTCTCCAGTACGCGGCTGAGCTGTTGCCGACGGTGGTAAGAGCTCAAGGGGTCGCCTTGATCCACATTATGGGATACGTCGCCAGCATTCTCGCGCCTTTCGTCGTTTACTTGGACATCGTCTCACCTATTTTGCCACTGTTGGTCCTCGGCATTATGGGTATCTTGGGCGGTCTCCTGACGTTATTTTTGCCCGAGACGCTCGACAAGGATCTGCCGCAGACCTTGCAGGACGGCGAAGACTTCGGAAAGGATCAGAAAATGTGGGATATGCCGTGCCTCCCGAAGTAAGAGCATCAAGAATATCTCTTCTTTCATTTTCTTTTGTTTGAGAATGAACCTTCGCGTCTTCGTCGCGTTAAATCGTCGACTCTTCTTGGTATTCTTCTTCTTTGAGACGTCGTAATTGCTGTCCCTTTCAAGTGTAATTTGATTTAATATACTGGGAAAAAAGATTGATCGAATTAATGATAATGAACGAATCAAACGTGTTTTAGTTGGAGAAAACGGAATTTCTGGTACTTAGAGCCGAATTTTGTTCATAAGAACTGGACACTCTGAGATCTTAGCTTGAGAATGAACGAGCCAAACGCATTTTGGTTGAAGGAAACCGAATTTTTGGTTTTTGCTAAACAAATTTAGTTTAAAACTAGAAACTTAGAACTAGAAACTAAAAATTTAGTTTATTTACAAATTTAGTTTAAAACTAGAAACTTAGAACTAGAAACTAAAAATTCTAACATCTTAACACGACAATGAAGAAACCAAATGTATTTTAGTTGGAGAAAATAGAATTTTTGGTTCTTACGAACCAAATTCAGTTTTGAGAACCAGAAATTCTGATATTTTTACGTGACAATAAAGGAAGTAAACGCGTTTTGGATAAAGGAAACAGAATTTCTGGTTTTTATGAATCAAATTGGTTTCTAAGAATCACAGATTCTAGAGATGTGCGAATCAAAGATTTTTAATATCGAATGGAATAGAATCTCAGATTTTAATTTCGAATTCGAATCAAATCAAATCGATGAAATTTCACTCGAATTGAATCGAATCGAATCGTTGAAAGAATTTTTAATTAACATAATCATTGATTTCAATATGAAAATAGTGATTTCAGTATGAGAGAGATAACATTGATCATGTGAAATCAATTCATTTTTTAAGGTAAGAGATATATAATATATAGTTATTAAACGTGTATGGAATACAGTTCCAGCCTTGAAAGCTGCACAACAACACATATTGATCCGACAGTTGTCGGTAAGAATTTATCTAGAAGCCATTATCTTTTTTTAATATTTTTGAAGAAAATCTTAATGTATAGCAAACTTTTCAAGTCATGCTAATCAATCATAGAGAATCATAGAATCATAGAGATTCGAATTTGAATCGAATCGAATTTCACCTGATTCGATTCAATTCGATTCGAATTCGAATAGTTCGCACATCTCTAACAAATTCTACTTCCTGCAACTAAATCGCATGTGTTTCGTTCATCATCACATTGTCAGAACCCATCTTTTTCTCTGAGTATCAACGAATTCCGCTCTAATTGAAATTTATACCTTTCTCAGGAAATCCGCGGCTGAAGAGGCACCGCCCGTGGCGATCTTCCGGTCCTTCGAACGCAGCAGTTTGCGAAACTCGATGAGAGCGTCCACGCGTGGCGAGCCCTTGAGGAGCAGCATGATACAGAGATCGAGCATCAGGTCGCGCAAGGGCGTTCCTGGTCCGGAAAAGCCAGCGGAAACGGAGGGCGTCTGAAAGCACCGTGATACGTAGTCCTGTTCCTGAATAATCGGGCGTATCCGTCGGCGATACCGTCGCTCTTTCATAATCGTGTGATACCGGAGCTACCAAAATCAAATGATACCCGATGCACATATCTCCATTGATCTTCCGATAGCGTATTTTCTCCGTGAAAAGAAAAAGAGTCAGGGCATCGCATCGCATGCTCCATACGTTTCACTCGTGATAGAGCGTTTTTACGCGATTAGCAATTGTATATCAAATTCTATGTGTGTGACGTCTCTGAAGTCCGACTTGGATTTCAAGTAAATTATGTAGATATTTTATGGACAATCGTGCAGTATCAATGTAGAGAAAAAGAGAAATAGAAAGAGAGAGAGAGAGAGAGAGAGAGAGAGAGAGAGAGAGAGAGATTTACAAAATTTTTTTACTAACTTATCCCGCACTTGTATTTAGTAATAGAGAGAAAGAGAAAGAAAAATTAGTTCCCGCGAATTTGTGTCTAGAACATGCAAACGTTTTATTGCGAAAATGTGTCCCTCGAGAGAAAAATTCAAGTTCCAAATGTGTGTGCCAATTCGAGTCCAAGAATGTCGACCGTATTGAGAGGTAAACACGACGAATAGGAAAAAGCGATACGTATAGGGGAGATCTGATCTAAATGACCTCAGAAATATGTTGCGCATGTTCTTAGTATTTATCTTGAGAGGAATAGTGAATATAAAATCGTAAAATGGTCTTGGATATTTCTTCTCCCGAATTTTATTAACATCGGAATAATATTATAATTAAAAAATAGAAAAAACTGATTTAGTAGTAGCAAAATAAATTTTCGAGCCTCTCAAGAGAAATTTTGTATTAATATTCTCCATCGTGAATGAATAAAACGATATATTACTAGCTAGAATGAAGTTTTTTGCAAGTATGATATACTGTTTTGGATAATAAAGGCAATTTTCATTCATAGAATGAATAAAATTAAGCATATATAGACAGACGAGGTAAAGTTGGTCCATAATTAAAAGCCCGCAGGAAAGCTGTGGAGTGAATTTTCGAACCTCTCGCGAAAACACTGAAAATACTGTAAATCTGAATACATACTTTATATGTAACTTTCTTTATTCTGTGCTACTGGACTACTGAACAGAGCAAGATGGCCATGTTGTTGCATGTTTGTGTGTATTTTGGTTATTGCAAAACAAAAATATACGGTCAAAAGGATTGTGCAAAATATCAGCATATAGAAAGAGAGTGCCTCTATCATGTTTGTATAATTAATCACAATAATCAGTTGTCTAAGAAGTTGTAAATTCGAAATTCTAAAGTATATGGGGCATCTAGCCCCGGTTTCTAGAGATGTGTAAACTATTCGAATTCGAATCGAATCGAATCAAGTGAAATTCGATTCGATTCGAATTTGAATCCCTATGATTTAAATCTGAATAATTCGAAAATTTCTAATAAAAAAGATTCAAATACGAATCGCGCACATTAGCATTAACGAAGTACTATTAAAGACATTCAGCCTTACAGGAATTAGCATGACTTGAAAAGTTTGCTATACATTAAGATTTTCTTCAAAAATATTCAAAGAAGATAATGGCTTCTTTCAAAGAAGATAAACTCTTACCGATAACACTGTTCGACAAATTTTTGTGACACGAGTACGAATAGTCGTTTCCGATGTATTTTTACCTGTTGAACACGAATCCGTCGTCCAAATTTAGCTATCACGTCACAGTTTTGAGAAAAATGGCGTCAAAGAGGTAAAAAATGACAATTTTGAGGGTTTTTGTGACGCTGTAGCGCAAGAAAATAAATTTTTTTCTCTACATTTCGTTAATGCCATGCAAAAGTATCAACTTTTAACTTGAAAATGCATCTAGTCTCGTTTCCCAACGACTTTTTGTTTTCAACATATGGCCAGTCAGAAACAATCGTCGGCATCAGTATCACTGGGCAGAACAATTTTTTTTTTGCAAAAAGACGAATAGTCATTTTCGATGTATTTTTGCCTGCTGAATACGAATCCGTTGTCCAAATTTGGCTATCACGTCACAATTTTTAGAAAAATGGTCAAAGAGGCCAAAATATCAAATGCGGGAACCTTCTTATCTTGTATCTTACTTCATTTTTCTCAAAATTGTGATGTGATAGCCAAATTTGGACGACGGATTCGTGTTCAGCAGGCAAAAATATATCGGAAATGACTATTCGCACTCGTGTCACAAGGAAAAGTTTAATTTTTATCGAACAGTGCACCTGTCAAATTGATCGTTGCGCAGCTTTCAAGACTGGAACTGTATTCCATACACGTTTACCGACTATATATTATATCTCTTACCTTAAAATAAATTGATATTACATTATCAATGTTATCTCTCTCATACTGAAATCACTATTTTCATATTGAATTCAATGATTATGTTAATTAAAAATTCTTTCAACGATTCGATTCGATTCGGGTGAAATTTTATCAATTCGATTCGATTCGAATTCGAAATTAAAATCTGTTATCAATTCGATTCGATATAAAAAATCTTTGATTCGCACATCTCTATCGGTTTCCCCTACACATATATAGTTTCGAAAACGACCTCAATCTTATATTGTCACATGCATCTCGAGTTTATTACGTCGCTTACAAAAACACTGTATTTTTCACATGTATTCACATGTATTTTTCATATGTATTTTACATATGTAGTACAAGATCATCCAAATCAAATTTTAAGTTATCCCGAATAAGGTTACGTGCGTGTCAACACCAAAAATATGAAAGGTGCATTCCGAGTTTGGAAATTTTCACGTAGCATCTCATTCGAAACTGTCTTCCGCGTCAAACATTGAAATTCTATATTGTTGATTTGTACATACTATATTTTATAATATAAATAAGTTATTTTATATCCATTAATACATGTCAATAAACGTGTGAATTGCCGAAGACAGATAAATTAGGCAAGTCAGAATTGGATGTTTGTGTGCGTAAATAATGATACTGTACGTGTAGACAACGTATATACTACTCGAGCAAAAAAGAATATGTATAATTATATAAAATTGTATATAAATATAAATATCAGAGTTGTAAAAGTTTCGATTAAATTTTTCTCAATTTAATTATTGATTTGAACAAATGTGTCTCAATTCAATTAACTGACGACTGATGCGAGCAAAATCAATCAAAGGATGTTTGGTCAACGATTGATTTTTAACGAATTCGATTAAAAACTACTCAATTACCGATTAATATGAGCGAAAAGAATCAAAGGTCGTTCAATTAACAATCGAGCTTAGCGAATTTAATTAAAGATCGTTTAATTGATTATTGTATTCAGCATGGTTAATTAAAGATCGCTTAATTGACGACTGATAAGCAAATTCAGTCGAAAGAGCTTGATACTCGAAGTTATAATTATTGATTTCGCAGATCATATTCACACCCGGAACATTGTGTCATCGTGGAAGATACCGATGATTGAGAAGCGCTGGCTAGAACCAGCTTTGGGGGGAGGAAAGAGGGACACTATTCAATGTCATATCAATCATCACCAACCTCTGATTGAATCGATTAAATTTGCTCATATCAATCGTCAATTAAATGGCCTTTAAGCAAAACTGCTCAGTTCAATTATTAATTGAACAATCTTTGATTTCCTTCATGCATATCAATCGCCAATTAGTCATAGTTATGTGCTAGAATTTCAACCTAAAAAATAATGATTTTCGAGTTTTTGTTTTTACCAATGAATAGTACATACGTCTTTCTATGTAAAACTAGAAACATCCAAATCTTATGAGCGCTTAAATTTAATTTAAGAAATAGTCTTTATTTTCTACTAGTTGCGTCATTTTTTATTAGTTACATTTTTTCATCCATGTTTTTAAGAGTTAAGCTCATCAATGAATAGTCTTAAAGAGAAGAAAATTGATCATGTTTGATTTCTTGTACGACTACGAAGAGAGAAAGAAAGAGAGAGAAAGAGAGAACTATAGTGCTATCTATATTTTTTAAATCATGTACCAAATTTTCCTCTTTATTTTTCTCGGAACGTACTTTATTTACATTGAATCATTCTTGCGTAACTATAGCCAAATGACCCTTAATTGGACTCGTTGAAATCAGTCGTTAAATGAACGATCTTCAACTGAATCAATTGTTAATTGATTAGATTGATCATATTTTTGTCTCCTAAGAAATCTTGAAATTTTGATATTTCAAACATTACTCTTTATAGCTAAACTACGTTTGTATTATTCCATTTGTATTATTTATTTTTCATATAATTTACAATATTCTACATATGTTTGGACATGCTTGGACGTTTTGTAATCTACGATACAAACTTAGGCCAGATAATCAGCGGGCACGAACAATTGGTCGACTTTCAAGCAAAGTCGCGGTATTATCATCAATATGAGTGCGATTACCGTTGAACGGTAAGCTATCGACTTATTGAGACTGTCGAGCGATAAGCTTTTCTAATCACCTGCTGCCACAGGTGACAGAGATGCGAGATGTGAGAGCGTTGCCCCGTTAATTTAAATAAAACGCTACTACATCTATCGACGCATTGACGTCCAGCCGACGCAGGTTTGCGTCGAGCATAATGAGAAGTGCAGACCTTGATATTATTAATAAACGACGGTATTATTGTAACATACGTCATTTAACACGTCTTATCGGCACGTCGGCTCTCCGGATTGCATTCCCCTGTCGAGTTCACTCCGTTCACTTCATAGCGGAAACCTGAAACCCGTTCGACGACCGTTCGACGTTGACAGATTCGTTGAACCAATGTCAAGGCTCGGCGGGCTCATAGAAAAGCACACGACCTTTTGCTCCATTTGTATTTCGCGATATTGAGACCGATGAATAATTATGATTAAGATAGTTGTTTCGCGACAATTTTGCTAAACAGTTATGTCAAGTAATGGTTATTACAGCTCGACGAAGCTCTATAAATCTGTGTAATAAATGCTTATAAATATGATTTATGATGTACAGTTTCAACACTATAGCGAGAGAATATTAATCAAACTTATATGCGATGTTTAAAAATTCATAAAATATAATCGTTTCTCTCGTATTTTGACGTATCAATATTTTTTGCTAAGACTGTTTGTATTATTTAAATAAAATTTTATCTTTTAAATGCGTTTTTCTCGAAAATCATTTGTTTTTTTCGAAATCTAACAAGAATATCTTTTTTAATGTCTGAAGAATTAAAAAAAAAAGTATTTTAAAATTTTAAAAATTCTATTCACTCTCTTCAAAGTTTGGGAATTAATAAATTTAGAGGCAGTATGTTTCTTGGCTCCGTGACGTAATATCAAAAAATGTATCGTATCATTCTAACGATCCTTACTTAGTATAAGAATAATGCAAAGATTATCAAAATTTGCAAAATAAGCAAGATAAAAATTATTTTTAGAAAATGCTTTTCAAATTCTAACTTCAGAAACAAATATCCCAGTAGGGATACTCTGTAGAAAAAAATTTATATGAATTTATAGGATTATTTTCACCCAATCTATGGGTCTGTAAGAAATTTTCCAGCTTTATTGAAACACTTTGTATATATCATACGATGAATTAATGCACGCTATTAGAAAAAAATAATCGTGGCGTTGAATTTTTTCATATTTTACTGTATTTATTTCTATCTTCCACTAAGAGAGGTCGAGGCAAAACGCCCTATATTTTAAAATTCCAAAGTTACAATTTCTCAGGCAACTAATTGTTGTGATTGATTGTATAAACATGATAGAAGTAATCTTCTTCTATCTATGCATTAATACCCTCCATCACTCAGTTAACCGTATATTTTGTTTCGTAATAACAAAAATACGAAAATGCAATAACATAATTATCTGCTACCTGAGTCCTGATAGCCTGCCGATTCAGTTGGCAAGCGCAAGGTAAAGAAGGCCACATATAAAATATATATCCTGATTGGTAATTCCGCAGTCTCCGCGAGCGGTCTCCACAGTCCTTTTGTTGACTTTTAAATATGGACCAACTTTACTTAGTCCGCTCTATTCCAATCATTTTAAAAATGAAAATTGCATTTATTACCAGAAACAGTAAATCATACACTTGTAAGAAATTTCACTCTATCTAGTAACATCTCAATTTTATTCAGTCACGACGAAGAATATTAATAAAAAATTTCGAGAGACTCGAAAATCTACTTTACTATTACCAAGTCAGTTTTTTTCTATTTCTTAACTGTAATGTTATTCTAATTTTAACAAAACTGAGGGAAAAGTATTTATGTTCTAAGTGGACCATTTCACGGTTTTGCATTCATTATGCCTCTCAAGATAAATACTAAGAAAAGCACATAAGCAACATATCCCTGAGACTATATAACTCCAGCCTCCCTTACGCGCGATTTCATTACAACCCCGCGAGATGGGGATGTCTACGTTACTCTAAGGCCAGTATTCATAGTCAGATCCTATATTTAAGACCATCTTAGTCTAAGTTCACCTTTAAAGATACTCCGCAGCCAATAAAATAATCCGTATAGCATCTGAAGATAAACTTAAAACTGTCTTCAGACTTGACTATGAATACCGACCTAAGAGATCGCCCACCTTTACTGTCGCTCCAGACGCGCCACGATCTGGCGAAATCGCGTTGAACGGCCGGTGTCGCATAGGAGAAAACGACACGATTATCGACCTTATCGTTGTTTATTTCTGGCGCGCGCAAGTTTGGCTCGAGCCGTGTCTGTAGGATAAACCGCAAACCCGCGGTGCAGAAGTCGCGAGGGAGCGATGACAGTCGGCTTACGCTCAGTGACGTATGTGCGAGGTAGTTTCTATTTGCGAGACGTCTCCCGAGAAGGCGGACGGGGCGATCGCCGCAGGCTTCCTTCCGCGACAGAAACGACGGCAATGAAACGATAAACCAACTCATCGGATATTCATTATTCATCCCGCGCGATTCGGCGGCGGATAAACACCGTTTCTAATAGTGCGACATCGTCTCGCGAGCGTGTGTCGCATCCACTCACCGCACTGCGGATTGTTCGATCTCCACCACTGATCGATCTGAGAATCCCGAGCCGAGCTTCTCGAGGGGTCGTCCGAGGGTGATCTTCGCAAACGCGCGAGCGCGTCTGCAACGCGAATAGAACGCCGGCGTGTCAATTTTTCGCGTCAAGTGCGTGAGTGGTAAATTTACATACAATTTCGCCGCGACAAGGGCGACAAATTTGTGTGTACGTGTCGGCGAGCAAGGTCGGCGAATACATTACAAAAGGGTTTTCCATGCTGATCAACGAAAGAGGTGAGTTTTTAGTTGCGTGCGTGTGTGCGCCGAAAAGAAGGAACTCTTTTCAACAACAAGGTACTATTTACTATCTGTAACACTGAGCCAAAACTTCTGCCAAAAGAGCAGAATCCCTCTTCTAACGAAATGAATTATATTAATTGAAAATCTGTTAGATATTATTCTAATCTTTTTTTTCTTTTGTATCGAGAGGAATATGTTTATTTGAAGGATGTCCTTTTATTACACAGAAAAAAAATAGTAGTCATTTAAAATTTATATACTCAAACTAAAAATCATTGTTTTATATTAGCAATCACATCTTAAGATTTACATGTCAGGTAAAGATATTTTTAAAACAAGAATGTTTTTCTATAGATAATATAAGAGACACGACAAAAGATGAAATTTCTCTAATTTTAAGAATAATTGTGCTTAGAATATTTTTATCTTCCCTTCTCATTATTTCACGCAAATTTAACCTATAATTAACAAATTAATTATGCAGAAGACATAATTAACTTTAAACTTTAAAAGTTAGTGCAATTTTAACTTAACTTTTATAATTAAATCTATAAAACAATATTAGTACGGACATAAAGAGCCAATTTAATGAAGTAAAATACTTAAATAAAGTTTCGATTGGATGCAGTCCTCTCCAGTAAGTGATACAAAGTCAAAAGAAGTCCATGCAATAAGTCGCTTCAAGTGTTGTCATGTTCAAAGCGCAATTAATTTGTCTCAGGCGCAAATCAAATTATTCACATCAGTGGTTGCTACATGATATAATTACAAGTCTATCAATATACATCAAACGCAAAAGGAGGGAGTCATGAAATAAAAACAACTGCACATAACAACTTGGCTCTTTGTGTCCGTATTAGTATTGTTTTATAGATTTGATCTACAGAGCTGTTATATTTAGTCTTTTATAGTGGAATTTTATAATTAAAGGACCCCGCACAAAACCTATGGAAAATGGTTTTCGGTCAAATTGGCTGAAATTTCACTATGTTTCGCCATGCTGATAAAAAGTTATCATTGCACCAAGCCCCAAAAGTCAATATTTCCCAAGATATAAAGGGTCAAAGTAGTGAAATATGGTCATCCGCAGTAGTAAGACGTATAAGTG